ATCAACGCTAAGTTGTGGTTCAGACGGATCTTTGTGTTTGCTGCTAATTGATTGAAGTCTGTAGGCCGAGGACGACAGCAATATTTTTATACGTACGCACGAAAGCAATTACTAAAAGAGAGCAACTTAAATCTGAATAGGAATTATGTAAACCTTTTATGATTTCTTTTTTTTTTAATTTAACAGGTTTTTAACATTAGCAGCTCGCTTAAAATGTTCTGTTTCTTAGAACTAGCGTTTAAGTGTTTGGTGAGATACCCTGGGGGGGACGGACGGGGGGCAATAAAGATGCAATTTAAATATAAAATCCAAAGATAGTACATTCATTATTTGTTATTACTTTACACTGATAAACTTAACTGAGATCTGACACAACCGTTCTTCTTGCTGCACCTCCTGAAGTCACAGTCCCTTGTTCATTAGCATAAGAGCTAAAGGTAGCTAACCAGAGCTAACACAGCTTGACATTTGCTGGTGTCGTGTCCAAAACCACACTACAGTATATATAAATACACACACACTATATGCTAGGTTTTGTCTCCCTCACTAGCCTCTGGCTAAGCTCATTGTAACCAGCCACTGTAATGCAGATGAGAGAGCGTCTGAGCTGATCCCAGGTGTTGAGTCACCTTCAGTTCCTGCTGTGTGAGCAAAGTAAGAAACCTTAAGAAGCAGCAGTGAGTGGTGCAGCCAACGCTGCTTTGTCCTGGGTTTCCCTTTTTTTTTTTTTGACATGTTCCAAAATGTTTAAGTCAAATTTATGGTAAATAATGATAAGATTTAACAATATGTATAAAATGTACTTCATTATATATAGAATTAAATCATTTTTACAGATCCACCTTTAACATCACTGTAATACTGAATAATCTGGGTTTCCCTTTTGAATATGATTAAAAAAAACAAAACTACTGGCGTAAACGTTTAACAACAATTCTTGCTCCCTGCACCTGGACTGTGGTTCTGTTGTTTAAACTGATATAATACCTTAACTCAGGGATTGACAACCACCGGGGCGGGGACCAGTACAGGTACCAGGTCATGTATCATTTGTTACGGATAAAGTTTAATTTTTTTAAACTTTTTTAAATTAGCGTAAGTCTGCTTAGTATTTTATTTTTTTGGTACCCGCCCCTGGTGGTGAGTAGTTACACTGCAGTTAGTCAGCATATTTATTTGCCGAGTCCCATGTCTGCCTCGTGTCTTCTTATTGGTTGTTTATGAGGGGTGCAGTCAACAGTTGTTGTTTGTTTGTGTGTGTGTGTGTGTGTGTGTTAGCTCTCTCACCTGTCCTATTCTCACAAATTCAGCTTGTCGCGCCTCCTCCTTCTTGCGCGCCGATTTCGGCGACTCCGGCAAAACGTCGCTGAACGATCGGCGATTTAACATGTTCTGGGGAGAAAAAGGAACCTAAAGATGGAATGCGTGGAGCCGACATGTTGTTCACACATGCACACGCACATGCACACATGGGATGAAAAAGAAAGCAGAGAGGAGTCTTATTGGCCGACCGTAGCAGAGGGAAATCAGCAGGAGTAAATCAAAGTTAGGATTCACTCGGTTTTTTCGGGGCAACGGAGAAAGGAGGGAAAAACAAGAGGGGGTAAAAAAGAAGGTGGATGTGAGGAGAGACAGCCTTGATGAGAAAAGTCAGCATTGCAGTAGTATCCAGCCGGTGTGGTGCAGTATGCGGGGGGCTGCAGTGGAATACAGCAGAACACAGCTCAGCAGTGGTTTCTGTCGGTGCCAGTAAGTGAGGTGACGAGGTGGAGCTAGAGGAGCGCTGCAGAGTCTCCTCCGTACTTCCAAAGGGCCTACATATCATGACATTGAAAAAAAAAAATGAAGGTGTACCTTGTGCAGGTCAGGCATTAGGTCCTGGTACAGAGAGCGGATTAACATATCAAGGGTCCGCTGACGCTTCTGGGCAAACGTTGGCGTCTCCAGTGTGGCTTTCTCTCCATTAATTACTATCAGCAGAAATGACAGATGTAGAGAGAGACACGTTTCAGAAGAAGAGGGATGAGGACCATTTATAGAATACGTCGCCTATGTATACATGTTTTTCTTACATTTGACTAGTAAAAAGTCCCTGAATTCATGGTGATCAGTAAACACAGGTGGAGACGGGAGGGGGGGTCCAAAGAGCGGAACACTTTCCTCTGAGAATATCTTCAACCTGCGACAGAGAGCATCTTGTTTACACTGATCATTCTGCAGGTGCAGTACAGCGAAGCCAAGTGATCATTCTGCAGGTGCAGTACAGCGAGGCCAAGAACCAGCATCCAGCATCTAAAGTATCTTAGTGACAAAAACCTAAGTCAGGGGTGTCAAACATACGGCCCGCTGGTGTAGTGTTTCCCCAACCTTTTTTTGAGCCACATATTATCAGGAAAAAAATCAAAACAAAAATCTCACAAAAATACATGTAATGAAATATAATAATCTTCTAGTTTAAATGACCTCATAATTGACTCAAATATTGCCCTGTTTAGTTGAAAACAACGCTGATATACTGGCAGGAATTGAAGAAAGACACTCACAAAGATCTTCTTCAAGAGCTCTGATTATCTTTTTTTTTAGTTTTCATAGCCATGTGCTGCCACCTAGCAGAAGAATATTTAATTATTCTGCATTTCAGGCTTTGATGAGCAAAGACGACTTCCTTGCATTAAAAAAGGGATAAAAACATGGGCTTATTATTATATATAGGTAACGATTGTACTGGCCCGGCCCACCTGACCTAATCAGGCTGTATGTGAATGACCCCTGACCTGTTTATTCATAATAAATCGAACTAAAACATGATATTAACAATTGTATTACGTGAAGCCACTCACCTGTAACTGTCATTCTGGCTATTATACCTAACTAATGCAAAAATATCTGCAGTAATAATTAGTCAAGGAAACACCGACAAAAGAGTAAAAAACATGAGCAGCTCTCAGGTTCACAGCCTCACAGAAAGAAGTCATTATTCAACCAAAGACTTTTTTGTGCGTAGCTCCCCGTCAACGACATCCACTTAATTTCATCCTTTCAGTCGGTGTGAAGGATACGGGTGAAGTGTGATCGGATCATTGATGGTTTGAAGGACGATGATGCGTCATCTCCTTCTTGGAATACTATAGTAACAATGTCATTTCCAATGTGCCTTTTCCGTTCCACCTGCAGAAGAGGACAGAGCAGAGACAGTGTTGAACAGGAACAGGAATTACTGCTACACCTGGGTCCAATCAGGAACTCCTAAACATTTTCAGAACTTATAGGTACCTCCGTTTAACAGATGTTTGTTTTTATACATAAAATAATATTAACATTTGACAAAGATCTTTTATAAAAACTGTTTTATTATATTTTTCACAGGTCTTGAACTGTGTCACATTTAATTTGATCAGATTTCCCAACCCTCGAAAAAAAAAACAAGTAAACAATACATTTTTCCTACCCTAGCACTGAAAATAGAGGCAGCGTTGTTGCAAACGTAAACAGTTCCAATTAGCTTATTAAAGACAACTCATTTTAAAAAACAAATTCACCTCGAACTCCTAACCCTCTTTTTCTTATATGACACTCTTATAGATTTTGTCCTGAACAAAAGTCACACAACCTTGCCAATTATTTCAGCTGGCACTGCAGGAAGCTGCAGAACTCAGGTGTGAAACAGAGACCTTTCTAGAACACGGCCGCCGCTCTCGTCAGCTCAGCTCACCTCGAGTAAAAGGCAGACAAGTAACAAGCAGCAGACACACTCCAATACTTCACGAGCACGGAGCGTTCCGCATTTTTCGACAGCCTAAAAATCTGCACTGATCTCAGGATTTCAGTGTTTCAGATGCGGCCTGATAATATTCAATATTATTGACGTTACAGAACTGAGAGAAAAGCAGGAATAATTTCTTTAATTTCCTCAAAGCTACGAGCTGCTCTGTGGTGTCGTGACTAATGTGCGTTAAAGATTTTGTAATTTCTGTAACGTCACTGTGGCGACAGCACAACTGTTTTATTATATTTTTCACAGGTCTTGAACTGTGTCACATTTAATTTAACAAGGTATCAGATCTTTAAGAAAAAAAAATTTGTTTTAGTAAAAATGGACACTTGTGTCCTGCCGGTCACAGCTGTCCAGACTCTCACTCACCTGCTGTTTGTTCTCTTTGGAGTAAGGTAACATGGTGGACACGTGGAACATGAGCTCGTGGCCCTGATAGACCGTGTAGATGGATTTGATTCCTGTAGTGTCATCTTTAGGGCCGAAGAGAGGCAGAAATGACGAATGAGAACGGTTAATTCTTCTGGTTTTGACAAATCCTGCTGCAGACGTGCGCTCACTCACTCTTGGTGTCCAGCCCACCACGGTACCCTGCCCAACCATGGAGCGTGATGGTGTCGCCCAGAAGGTTGAGGAACTTCTCGAAGCTCTCGCTCCCCGTCTCTGAAAACAGAAACACACACGGGGTATGTCGATGAAGAGGACTAAAATACACACACATTCGATTTGGTGCCATCTGCAGGTGGGTTAAAAAAAAACACAAAAACAAAAACAAACCCAAAACCTGTCTCACAGCTGTAGAATCAGAACAAGAAAAACCTCCTGTGTGTAGAGTGAATAAGTAAAAAAAGATTTCAAAGACAGTTACCGTTGCTGAACATCTCATCATCTGTTAGCTGTCCGTCTTTGGCGTACAGGACACCAAATTTAAAGTTGACAGATCCCTACAAAAAGGGAGAATTAAAGTTAAATTTGAAACTTTAAAGCATTAGCATTAGCCATTAGCTGTAAAAACATTCATCGATTTAATTTAACCAAAGATAACTCCAGTGGGATGACTATAGTTCTATCTATCCATCCATCCATCCATCCATCCACCCATCCATCCATCCATCCATCCATCTATATCCAGATGAATCCTGTTGAGGCTACAGATGCTTCCCTTTTTTATCATTAAGCATTAATGATATCCAGGTGAGAGAAAGGAAGCCAAAAAAAAAAAACAAAAAAAAAAAACCCAGCTGTGTCATCTCATACCTCCTGTTCCTCCAACACCAGCAGATCCTGGGGACAGAAGATTATATTCTCATTATAACGTTCATGTCCACAGTCACATGACTCAGCCCCGAGACAGGACAGGACATTTACAGATATGCTGAGCAGGAACAGAAAAAAAAGGTCCAATGTCAAGACTACACAGACAAAGGTTGATCCTCGGGCTTCACTCTCACCTTCTGAATCTCCGGGTTGAGAATCTCTCTGGGGCCTCTCTCGAACCGGTCCATGTTCATCGCGCTGGAAACGAGGACGGGAGCAGGAGCAGGAGCAGGAGGAGGAGGAGGAGGAGGAGGAGGGGCGATTAGTGATGAAAAAAGATACCAAGGTGTTTAGAGATTTGGATGACTGGCGGCCAGAGGGGTCAAACAAAAGGATGACACCTTATATGGGGGAATTCTCCACCAGCTTGTGCTGTTTATATGACATGTTGTTGAAAATGTGAAAAATAATCCTCGTTCTTTTGAGGGAATGTAAAATGTCTTATGTTTATACTGTGAGTTTTTTTTTACTCCTTGTAAATAATATCCAACAATACGTGGACATTTGTACAAACACATTCCTTCTGATAATGTTAGTTAGGAAATGCAATAATAGCTTTTAAAAAGTGAATGTGTCATTGTCCTCAGAGGACGGACGTCGTTGTCCAAATGTGTGTTAGTCCATCACCAGACCCAGGCTGCAGTTCTCACCTGAGGATGGATTTGACCGACAGTGTTTTGGTGGGACTGTAGGGGAGGCTGATCTTCAGAGTGCCCTGAGCAGAAGACAATAACAAGTGTCAATGACATAACATGGTTACACAAACATACAGGGCATGGGCTACAACTGGTACGCCAAAACATCAAAATCAGGTCCACAGGAAGAGTTTAGCTTTAGAATTTAATTTATTATACAGTACAAAATTTACTCGGTGATACCCACTTCCGCCCCCAGTGGCCAGTTGCACAATGACTTATGCTTATTTTTTAACAAAAATGTAATAGTCAAAGACACATTTGACTTTTAAACACGTTAGCAGAAAACGTACTCGCTGATAAAACTTATGTCACTTTTTCAGTCTGACTTTGCCCTATCCATTTTTTTCCCCGTAAGCGCCAGTTACTGAATATGTAAATGTTGAACAAACCAGTAAGGTAGTTCATTTCAGAGAAAAAGCTTCTTTGTCCTCCAGCCTGTGGAAAAGATTGAGGTCAATTGTTTAGTTTTGATAGTATTTTAGGAAGTTACCAACTGTTGTAGCTGTGCACCGTACCACGACACCCTGCGAACCTGCACCACGTTCCTTTATTGTTCCAACAACAGTATTAGTGCAGCTCTGAGAAAATGAAGGTCCGGTCACATATTTCCCAGTAAGTCATAAAATAATTAGCGTGAACTAAATTAGACCAGAGGAGTTGGAGCCAAACTGGGTTGTTCTCTTCCACCACGACAACAACATCCTGTTCCAGTTGGACTCTGACAGACACAAGACAGATCAATGTGATCAGCCTGTGGAGGTGCACGACCCTAATCAGGTTCCAGATGAGCCTGGTGGCCAGAATTAGATCTCAGCCATGAAGCTGAGTCACCACGCTACAATAACACAACCACCGACGTGCATTCCTCACACACACACACACCTACACACACTGACTTCAAACGGTACTAGCGTGGTCCCCAAAGATGTTTTCTTTTTTTCCCTGTATTCCTGCTATATTTAGGGAAAGTACCACCTACGACTGAGCAGCGCTCGCAAGATTAATTTGTTTTTGCATCAAATCAAATCGTGAGGATTTTCTCCTCCGCTGCAAACTCTGGACGAGGAAATGTTGAATTTTATACGCCGCTATATTTATCTCTTACTAAAAGAACGAGTGATGAGCAAATCTTTGAGAGCAAATCGGTGGTGTTCCCTGCATCTGTGGGTTTGTGACCCTGAACAACAACAACAACAGTCCTCTGTCCGGGCTCTTTGTCCAATCACACGTTATCGAGGGTTTTCAGCATTAGTTCATGTGACAGTTGTAATAACCACTTCCTGTAGGCGGGGTGGTTGTCTAACTTGACGGAGATATAAAACGGTCCGATGTCGGTTAGCGCTGACGTAACTAAAAATATGTTTTGTTTTGTCATAAAACTGTAGTCGAACTGGGACAACGTTCGTGTTCACTTATTTTTCCTGTTTTTGACCACTCCCCCTCATCTCTAACACACTACTGATTTCAATGAACTGAAGGTTGAACTGACCGACTTTCTCCAGAGAATCGCCCGGTACTGAGGGACCCGCTGATTGTTCTGGTCGGAGAGGACGACAGAAAGGTAGAAGGGGTTCTTCTCTGCATCGGTACCAATGTAGTTCTGGTGAACTGAGGGAGACAGAAATGATGGATCAATTAAATACCAACATACAGAGCAGGAGCTACCATCCAAATGACTGGGCTGAAGTAATCTACCTGCTACGACGTTAAATATATGTTTACTCATATAAACCAAACATACTTTGTACACACACTACAACAGGGGTGTCAAACATATGGCCTACGGGCCAAAACCAGCACGCTTGGGGGTTCAATCCGGCCCAAGTGATGAATTTTGAAAGTGGAAAAAATGCACAAATACTTCATGCGGATGTTTTGTCAAATTATATATTTGTCAAATATTCAATATGAATATTTGCTAATGTATGTCTAGGAAAACAAAGAGGAAAAACATGGCTGACTTGTCATCTAATGCCCTGACACCCCTGCACTAGAACATTATATTTATATATATATTTTTTTATGGTAATTGCTCATGATCACTTTGTGATCCACTAGTGGATCCCGACCTACTCATTGGGCATCACTGATATACTGTAGAGCATGACAGCACCACGACGTCACTGATCATCCACAGTCATCAAAGTTTGAATTTGAAGAGTTTTTATAATGAATCCAAGGAATGGGCTTTGGGAATTAGATCAAAATACGCCTTTTCCTTAGTGACAAATGATTCCGCTCTCACTCCCTCATGCTGTGGAATTCCACATCCTTTAAACTCTTTGTCATGGACTGGAGGCCTGTGTCTGTATCTGCTGTTTGTTCTCCTTCCTCCTCTGCCTTTCTGCTATTTTCTGCCTCTTTTTTTTTCTTTTTTAATGAACCCACATCCCTGCTTCTCCCTGTTTGTGTGTGTGTGACAAGAGGCAAAGACAATGATCTCCAGACAAAACCGCAGCGGAGCCGTGCATTCATGCCTCTGCCTTGTTGGTTGACAGGGTAACATGTTCAGAAACAATGGCGAACGGAGCCGCCAACTCAATTAGATGCAGCGTCTCTTCCGGCGATGGTGTTCCTTTCTTTGTATGTTTGGTTTTTCTTCTTCCGATATTAACCGTTTTGACGCTGTCAGGAACCCAGCACCTGGTTGGGTGGCTTGAATTTATTTTTCGGAAGTACTTTTACCATGGTACAGAGCAAAAATACAGATTGATTTCATGTAGATGTCAGAATAATTGGCCTGTAGTGGTTAATTTGTTGTGTTCAGTAACGCGGTCCTCTCGGCCCAGGCTGTGGGACACAGATGGTTCAGCTGCAGTCCACAGAGTTTGAGCCAAATGTCTGACTCACTTCAAACTTGCCATGCTCTACAGTATGGACTGTGACTGAAAAGTGACCCTGGCTAAAAGGGGAAAAGACATTTTTCTCTCCTTCCCCCTCCCTCCAACGTGTTGTTGCCAAACTTTGTTTTGCAATTATCTCCATCCATCTGAGGCTCTAACCTTTATCTTGGCCTTTCAGCTCAGGACATTTTTCCTGATTTAAGTCACAGGGAGGAAACTGAACAATGATCTCATGCTGCTCCGCTCGGCTGTGCCACCAATTCTCTGAGTTTGCAAACCAGGATAACAGGTTAATGACCGCCATGACAGACGACCGGGAGACTGATCCTAACAGGTATGAGCTCATTCTGGGAGATCTTTACTTTCGTAACTGTGACTCCCCCCTCTCTCTCTCCCTCTTCCATATGGATCCTCCCCCGGTGGTGATTACAGTGTAGTTGAGAATTAATGACTGCATGTGGCTGGACAGAGACAGTACAGAGTTTGTCTTTGAATGAGGAGCAGTGTCACGAAAGGATAAGAATAAAAATCAAACCTCAAACACACACAGGCCGTACACAACAAACTTTTATCCACCTGACTTCATGTGCTTATAAAAAAACATGGCTGCCCGGCACTGACCTTTTCCCAGGAAGTATTTAAAGAACCATCTGGTGTGGTACTCCGGGTTCTCCAGATGGACATCGGTTCTCCTCCAGGTTCCTGGAGTGTAGTCTGAGGTCTGTTAGAGGCGCACACAGAAAACACAAATATATCACGACGTCATGACGAGGGCCACAGCTTGATACGCAGTGCAGCGTTACTGAGTATAGTACACAGCCAGGAGTACAGTACACAGTACAACACACTGTACTGCTGAGGCTGCTGTGTTGTGATGTCTGATATTATAAAGGGTTGGTTTTTTTTTGCGGCGCAGGGTGAAAATGTATTTTAAAAAGGATTAAACTTTTTAGCGAGATTGCAATGTGAATGTGAACGCAAAATTTTAAGTAAAATTCAAGAAAAAACAACATACCTTACCCAGGGATGTCCGATAATATCGGCCCGATATTAGCATAATTATGTAATATCTGTAAGAATCGTAATCATTTTTTTCTCTGATAATAAAAACCAAATAAGGCAGTGTCTGGGTTTGGTCAAATGATGTGTGCCCTAAAAATTGTTTTGGGGAAAAACAGCTGTATATGAAAGTGAAAGTCACTAGATGGCAGCATTGCAACTCATTTTATTAATCTAGGGAGAAAATACTGTTTTAACCCATCACTTAAGCAGGCGACACTTCCATAACCACCAGGCCACGCTATATTGGTATCGGTTGAAATTAAGGTTTGGGATGATATCGGTATATTGAATATCGGAAAAACGTTAATACCGGACATCCCCATGCTTAAAAAAAAAAAAAGAAAAATCAAAAATGTACGGCCTCAGTCACGCTGCCCATCGCCACCTACTGGGTGAACAGGTTTAGGCATTTGTGCACAGAATTGTGTAGTACAGTATTACGTACCTCATCTGATGAGCCATTCTCCACCCTGAAGCGTCCTGCCCTCTGAATGGCCCCGTCTGCGTCACTGGAAATCAGCTGAGAGGGAGACAGATTTGAAATGATGACAAATCACACGTTTTGTACGGACGGTAAACAAACACTTCTCATATATAGTCGAGGACAACGGAGGAACCGGTGCAGACGAGTCGCCTCCTGGTGGCACCAGCTCCCTGCGTCCTCTCTCCAAACACCACAGGCTCCACAGTGGTGCATCATCAACAGCATCACAGCTCTGCTTTAATCAATAATAACGGCTGTCTGACATGATTTGTCCAATTCCCTTCACATTAGCGACACCTCTTAATGTTCCTCTCTCCATGTCTGCACCCCCGCTACTGATCAGTCCAATTATGTCTCCTGCTGACTCACCTCCCAGTCAGTGAGCAAAATGGGACACTTAATGATGGGGGGCGGGGGGGGGGGGGGGGGGGGGCAAGTTCCACCTGAAAGAGAGATTTCTAGGGTATTGGCGCTAACTGATGTTAGCAGCTGTTCTACAGAAGAGGCTGATGTAAACACACACACACACACACACACACACAGCTGTTAGAACATGACAGGACAGAAGACAAATGAAAAGATCTGAACTTTGGGTCCAGACTAGAAATGAACCAATGTTCAGAGAAAATGGATGAGGTTGCCAGGTCTGCCAGATGTCAGCCACTCCAGGTTTGTTTTCTGTAATTACACATATTGATATTCATGGGCCAGATTTGACCTGCGGGCCATAGGTTTGACACCCCTGATCTGAACCAAGAACATTACGTTTGTCCTGTTGTAGCAGCTGCACAAAAAACAGCAACCTACTGTTTTTGTTTGATTTGTAAAATCCACCAACCATAACCAGGTGGTAAAGGACCAGGTTTTAGTCAACTGATTTATTATGTTTGAAAATAACCAAAATATTATTTAAATTTAAACAAATATCTAGGTTATTTAAAATATTCAAAAACATTCACTTTGTCCAAAATGACAAAAATCCAAACAAATGTACAGCAAAACACCAACAAAAGTGATTTTTTTAAAAGGCTCAAATATCAAAAATAAATCAGGAAAAGCTACAAAAAAAGTCCATTAATTGGCTGAAAGTTGGACAAAGAACCAGAGAGACAAATGCCACCTGCTGCTACCTGTGGAGCCCACTGGTGGGGAAGGGAGACATGACAGATGGGGTGAGACAAATGGGAGGAAATTTTCAAAGTTCAGGTTATGATGTCACGACTGCACTTTTCTTTTCTTTCTTAACAACGTTGTGTTATTTGATACCATCGATTTTAATTCATGATAAAATATGACTTTACTTGGCGTTCAATAAATCTGAAATGTCATTTGTCAAGATTTTTACTGGGGCGACGGGGAGAGTGTGGGGATGAGAGGGGGGTGAGAGGGGGGTTCAGATGGGGCTTGAAAATCCCCACAATGACCAAAAAAAGTTTGAGAACCACTGGCTTTAAAGTATGAAATTGTTCTGAGGTTGGAACAGAAAACAAAGTATTTGTTGACGACATTAAAATACTGAATATATTTATGAGAAAAGCCATTTATTTTTAAACTAATTCCTTTGTTTCAGTCCCAGTGGTGCAAATATTTACCTCAAATAAAAAGAGGTAAAAAGTGATTGAATTTTTTTTTTTCAAATCATCTCTCGATTTCCCCCCTTGTTGGAAGCGCTGTCATCCATAGAACACGTGAACATATCCCAACAGGTATTGATCTTGCACCATAAGCGATGACTCATGTGTTGGCTGGGTTAGCGTCAACGCTGCCAACCGACTGATTTATCGTCCGTGTTCTTTCTCAGCTGACGTACAAACCCCCGCTCCACTATATTACTATTCACATCCTCATTTCCTGTGCAGCCGCAACATTGTCTCCCTGTGTGATGTTTTGTTGCCAGGCAACAAAACAGACTCTGCCCTTGCTGCTCCCTCCCACCCCCACTGCCCTCTGCTCTTCGACCACCTTTAGAGCTGCGTACGTTTGTACGCCTCTCTGTTCTGTAAGTATTGTATTCTTTAACAAATACTGTAAAAAAATATTCATTTTAAGTGGTATCTCAACTACAAGAACACACAGATATTTTTTTGAATATATAAAATATATTCTTTCCCCCCCGATGATGACATTTGGTGATGACTGTTCTAAATCAAGACAGCTGCAGCAAATAAGTTGTTGCTTCTTGACCCACTTTCTGTCAAGTTGATTCCCAACAGTGATTTTTGAGGTTCAGGCTTAGAGAAGGGGAAGTCAGACAAAGCTCGCTATTATTTTGTTTCTCTCGAGGTTTATTTTTGACATTTCACTTTGTATTTACTGTTGTGTTAAAATGAACCCATGACGGCTCTGTCATCCAACAGTCTCATCAAATCCACAACAGCGCTGAAGAAAATGTAGCTGCAGATCATTCTGAAATGTTTCACTTAGAGCTCTGAACAATCACTGATGGGTTTGTATTATATTTTCTTTACATACTGGAAAAACGTTGAGGTATTACTTTACACTTTTGTACTGCTTATTCATGCAGCACAAACTCTG